TTTCACTGGCAAATTCCTGGTTATACTATTCTCAGGCAATCTTGTTCAGCTGGGCTGGTTTCAACTTGTAAATTACTGTGATTAGATTAAAATAGTCTACATTGCACCTTTAAAAGATATTAGTGGGAATGGACTGGTGGCATCATTAACAATCAGTTGCTCAACTTCGTACCCCAATGTAAAGCTACAGCTTTACTAGATTTTAACTGTTTGATTTGCAGTTTGCCATTATGACTGTCTGCCTTGGGGAAATTTGTATGAGGAAACTTCAGGAAAAACAGTCCAGTCATTTCTTAAAAGAGCACTGCAGAATGAGTACTTCTTTGGCAGCTGAAGTTACAAAAACAGGTTCCTTGGGACTGTCTCATGTGTGGTTTCCCTGGTGTTGTATGACTTTCTTCCTTCCCCTTAATGGAGGCACTGATTTGGGCTTCCCTCCTCTATCAGTGCATTCAATTTCTAAAAATGTGCCAGACTGGAACAGTTCAGGGTCCTTCACCCTTCTGAATTGGCCCAAGTCAATTGGGGTGATGGGACAGAAGTTGACAAATGCTGAGACACACAGTATAATCACATCAGAGTAAAATACCACTTTCTCAGGAAAAACAAACAAACAAAAAAACACCCCAGGCTGAAAGGAGACACACTTACTGCCAGATACACAACCTAAAAGTCCACATCAACTTTACAGATCATATCTGCAATAAGATCTGCAGGGACATGAAAGTGGCAGGGAGAGGCAGATAGCTTCTATCAGGGGCGTGACTTGTGCTTGCTCAGGTTTGGGCAAGACAGGAGTGGTTTATATTTACTTTGTACTTGGATGCCTGCAAGAAAACCACCACTAGAATCTTTGAGGGTGCTACTGGGTCTTTGGGAGAGTGGAGTGCAAAAAGTGCTGTTTTCCTGAAATTGTAGCACTTTCCTGCTGCAAACCACATGGGGAAGAAAGCTTCTGGTGCCTAGACAAGGAGTAAAGGAGAGCCTGCTTGAATCAGAAGGGGCAGTGAGCAGTGCCAGGTCAGTTAGGCAAGGGGATTATACTGAAACTTTTTGCCAGCTGTTGACAAGGACATTTGAGTTAGGAAAGATAAAGGGAACAAAATAGAGAGGAAGGGGGTTTGACACAATCTGTGGTGCAGAGATGAACCATGAGACTGTGAATGAAATGAAGGGCCTGAGAAATGAGTCAGAGGAGAGAGCGGAGAGCAGAAATAGATGAAAGAATTTAGGGGGAAAGCCTCTGTGCCTGGCAAGGCATATTGCTGGGAATGAAACTCAAGATCCCTGGCTCAGCATTTCCCTGCTGCCAGCAAGCATCCACAAAAATGTTGTTGTAATGCTAGGGCTCCTTGAGGATGGTAATCAATTATTATAACTATTCTTTTATCTTTGTGGCTGAACTTTTGTTTGCTCACTAGCCTGGAGGTTTGGGGCAGGAGGACTGGGAACTGCGCTGAAAGATGGCAATAAAGAACGAAGCGCTGCACTGACAGGAAGTTTCAAAATTCAGGTTGCCCATGGGATCTGAACTCACTCCCTTCCCATTTAGAGGTAAGTATAAAGATACAAATCTTTGCCACAGGATCGGCTTACTCCCAAAGTAAACCAAACTGCATTTCTTTGACAAACAGATTTTCAGTACTTTGTCTCATAATTCTCCATGTGGCTCCATGCCTCGCTGGCTGCTCATTGATGAATTCTCATTCTGAATAATGAATTAGCAACTCTTTCTATTTATGCTGTTCATCACTGGAATACACAAGTATGCACAGATCCACAACAGTAACAGCTTTTAGTCACGTAGCCAATTTTTAACTTTTTCATTTATTACTCTGAAAGTAAAGCTTCATTTCCCAGGTAGCTTGTGTAAAGTGCATACCCTCATGGGGATAAATTTACAATCCAAAGATCTGACAACAAGAATACTAAGAACTAATTTATCTGGATTTCTGTTTTTATGAAGTCATCTAAGAAGTCATAACAGGGAACAGGATTCCCTGAGAAATACGACACAAGTAAAAATAGGGAGACCATCACTGCCTCATAGGACCTGGAGAGCAAGATGACAAGACAGGCAAACTAATATGCATGGAAAGAGAGGCAGAAAAAGATAAAGCTATTAGTTCTAATCCAAGAGCTAATTTTTCTAAGTCTCACTCCAGCTTCTATCCATTCACTCTCTTCCGCACAGCCACAGAGTTCTTTTAATGACTAGGATTAACAAAAATTGATGCTTATGCCCTGCACAGGAAGCTGTATTATCCCCAACTTACAAAAGAGGGAAACTGAGGCATGAAGCAACCTCATTTCTTCTCTCATCTAAGCAGAGGGCGGAGACTGAAGGCAGAGCTGTTCCTTTGTTTCCTCACCAGGAAAGCAATTACCTTGCATTTTGCTAGAACAGAATGTTGAGATTCTTTGGTAATTTTTGTTCCCAGGTGCTGCATTTCTTTGGAAACTCACCTTTTTAAGATACCATAAAAATGCTGACTGCTTTTTAAAACTCCATTTTACTTACCTGCCTTTTACTGTGTGAACTGTTTCTATGGAAACTGGAACTGGTCATGAAGCAGTCCTACAACATGAATTCTCACTTGCCAGTTTTACATTAAAGTGCCACCTTCAAAGTCCTTTAATAAACCACTAATAATTGTGTTGCTTAGCGAGTTTTCCAATTAAACAAAAGAAGAAAGCGTGCTTTCACTGAATGTTCTGCACAATATTTTGTAGGTGTGGTCTAAGAATTTTAACAGTGTGCATGATATGACTCTCTTGGTTAAGGATATGATCTTTAAACAGAGAGACAGTTTATTAGCAGTAAAAGCCCTAGTGTGTGTAGTTAGACTTACATAAAGGTGACTTATACCAATATGGGTATGTCTAGACTGCTGTCACAGAAGCACACTGTAGAGATACTGAGTGAATGGGTAAATCAGCCTACAGTGAGCTCTGTGCTCCTACAGCTCGCTGGGGTGCCTCTGTGCAGGCATATGCATGTGGTATTCCCTGTAGGTACGAGAGGGAATGCTCTCAACCAGAGTAAGTGTGAGTCTGTGTTGGGTGGCTACTGTGGAAAAAATAAAGCATGCAAGCTTAAGACACAACCATTTCATACAGTTATTCAGAATTAGAGTCCATGTAGCTCAAGTCTAGGCTCCTCCATCACCTTTACCTTAACCTTTCACTCTCATAAAAACTCTAAGATCCCCTGTGTTCATTTTACTTACTTTCCTGAGTCAACTCAACTGAGAAAAATCCCTTTTTCCTGTTCTTGGGGAGCAATCGCCAACAGAACACACCCTCCATCACACGAGTAGAGCATTGCCAGCAAGGATCAACTTAAAAACTTCCAAGGACAGGTTCTATCCAGAGTAACCTATCTGTGTTTCCTGAGATAAGTTCCTCTCACCTCATCTCCAAGGCTTTGCAGTTGATCAGTGCTTTTAAATTGCAACAGGGGCAGGACTGATGCAAACACAAGTGTCTGCTCTCTCTACCTCCAAGCATAGAAAATCAGTGGACAGGGATTTTAGGCAAACTTTACACAAAGAAATACATCTAAAACACAGAAAGTGCAGCCTCAAAGTCAGAGGCAACAGAAATTGCATGTGTGACTATACAAACTGCAAAACACACAGATAAAATCCTATTTTGGTATGAATTCATTTTAAAAAGATTCTAAAGAGCAACATGATCTCCAAACTTTCTTTTCCTCCCAAAACTCATCCAAGCCCACACACTTGGCTGACACCCCCAGGAGAACCAGGGTCTTTCTTCTAACTTAAGAGAGAAGATCACCTTTCCTACTGAGCTAGAAGCATTCCTTTAACCCTTTCCCAGCAAAACAAGCTTCTGCTAATACAGAACTTTCCAAGAAAATGGCCAAGCCACTCTTTTAAATTAGATGCCATTCTCTTCCACATGGTCCAAAACATCACATGCTTTCCTTTAAAGTACCATCAAGCTCATGCCAAATAGGCAACTTACCATATGTACTGTTTGATTATGGAAAACTCCTGAAGTGAGTTTGAATTTAGGAATTAATATTCAAAGCTACTTCTTCCATAGATAGCCCTTGGTTTTAAGCATCACTTCAAACTGATCAGTAATCAGAGCAGGAACTTAAAAAGCAAATCTCCCCAGTGGCCAACCAGACCTTCTCAGAGGCATTAATTAAAGTTGCAACTTCCCTCAATACCAGTGCACTCAGAAGCTGCCTTCTTTTCCTGATTTACAGAGATATTTATGGGGGTAGAGGGTGGGGAATAAACACTCTACAATTCTTCCTTAACCCTCTTCTATTTCCTTCTGCACAGCTACATCCTTCAGGACCTGTTCAGGGCCCATATTAAGATCTGACTAGAAGGTACCCAACTCAAAACAGAGCAGTAATGTAAGGAGCAGGGCAGTCCGCAGGGAAACCAGCTATTGAGTCCTGCATCAAGTAGGGAATTTACAGCAAATGAATGATTCATACATAGTTTTCTACTATGAACAAATTTACCACCTCTTTAAGGCCAGAGTTTTCCACAGGCCTCTGAATGCAAATGCCAAATATTTTGTCATGCCTTTTTCTTAGCCTATATGTCTCTACAGCCAGGGCTTGGAATGAGGCATATAATATAACAAACCAGAGACCTGGCACACATGGGGCTCCTCACTGCCTTTCCTCATGCATATGGTTTATTTTTCCCAGCTATGTCAATCCTTATAGGGCTTTACCACTACATCTGCCTCCTGGGAGTCTGCTATTGCAACTCTTACAGGGAAGGTGCAGAAGAAAAAAGGATACATTTAATCTCCTCTACTCTTTTCAAGCCAAAGGTCTCACTTCTACACCATTAATTAAACAGATTAATTAAACAGACAAGCCCCTGCAGCAGCAAGCCCTCTCCAAGGATAAATACCGAACAGCTCCGTTTTTTGAACTGTTTCACATAACAGAGCTGTGATTATTCCAGATGAAACATCTTGCATGGTAACCTTCTTTAGGCCAATGTTTACGTCTATGTCTTGTGTTCCTCGGCAAGCACAGCTATGGGTGGCATTTTACCCCAAAGGTGACAAAGAATAAAAGACAAAAGGCAACAGTGCTCTTTAGTAGTGACTTTTCTTTACAGCCCACCGGATGTAAATATGAGGATGGCCAATGTCTCATCTTACTCCAAGGAAAGAGCCCAGTTTCTTTTCCAGTTCCCCTGCTGTATTAGAATGTCCAGAATCAGTCTGATACAGCTCTCACTAGGAATAGCAAGGAAGTCAACAAGAATATTAAAACAAGTATTTAAACAACTTCTCTGAAGCTGGACAAAACCAGCATTTGGAGAATCAGAAGGCTCTTTTTTATCCCCTATCTAGATCATATCAGCTAATGAAAGCTTTTTGGAGTCACTCAACGTCTCCTTCTTCTTTCCTCCTGAATGGACCAGAATGAATGTATCCTGTCTTTTCTCTTTAAAATGCCATATAATATCCTTCCATAGTGCTGACAACATCACTGTTACTCTCCAGCAGTTCCAAGACACGGTGCATCACCACTTCAGCCAGGGAGGGGTTGTAGCTTTGGCGAACACAATTTAGGACATGAAGGAAATGGCAGCCTTTTTCAGCATCTGCAGGGAAAAAAGGGAAAATTCAGCCAGGCATGGAGGAAAGACTTCGATCTGCCTCTTTTGAACTATTATAATCCAGATCGGTTATGAAAAAACAGCTGCTAGAGAGAAAGAACACCCTAGATACTAAAGCAGAAGTGTGTGTATTCAGAGGGAAGAGATCCAGTCTGTGCCTACAGTTCTTCAATTATCAGCTGTCTCCACTGACTTTTCTGGGAAGTGTCAGGGCTGCAGCAGTAGTAATGAGGGTTAAAGTCTCAGTCTTGTCAACTGTAACATATGAGAGTCATTCAGTAGACTTGACAATGAGGTCAATAACGTAAGAGTACCAAGCTATCCAGTTTATGCAGCTTCACAAGGACTCAAAAGAGAATAATTTTGTTCATACCTAACTTCAAAACTCTTTAGCACAGCAGGGAGGTGGGAGGTATGCGGCTAGGACCTGTAACCGCTTGCCCAACGCTGGCATCTTGTGGAAAAACTGCTGCAGTGCAACTTCATTCACCTCAGTGCGATCCGTCCCTGCCCTTCAGGCTACTCAGACAATTACTGAAGTAGAACGTCTCAGACCTTCAGTATCAAATGTTATCTCCTTTTAAGAGGAATTAGCCGTGAAATGTACAAGAGAACAGAAATTTTAAATTAACACCCTTTCCTATGGGGCAAGCACAGAGGTCCCCAAAGGCTGCACAAAGCTACTGTGTACCAGGTGGAGCTGTGATTTGAAGCTGTCATTCGAAGCTGTTCCAGTCAACATTTCCTCCCACAGACCCTGTAACACACTAATCATCCGTGCTGCAGGCTCCCAGCCTCTCCAAGTGCTGAACTCCACAACACATTTCTCCTCGGTGGCTAACAATGGAAAACAAACATAAACGAGACACACCAACACAAATTATTTTCCTTCTCCTCAGCCCTCAGCTCACGTGATGCAAGGCAAGTTTGATAAGGGTACTGAGAGATTGCTATGGGCTAGGGAGGTCCCTATATTTTGTTGTTGCTGCCTTTGCTTTTTTTTTAGTTATTCTCTACTCTAGAATCTGCTGAGCCCCAGAACTGCCTTAGAAGCTGCTGAAAAAAGTCACTCGTAGATAGTGGTAAATAAACAGTTCAGCCTAATTCCTATTAGACTGTGGATCAGGCAGAAATACTTCTTTAGAAGTCAGTGATCCAGCATGATTAAAGGCCTTTGTGGCTGACAGCCAAAATGTGTCCACCACCCTAGGAGAGGTAAGTACAGAGAACAGAACAATGCCTCTAGCTGGTCATGGTGACTGTTTTTGCAAACAAGGTGGGTAACCACATTTTACATTTGTCATAGGTTTGTCATAAGAAGGTCGAAGTGCCCATCCCTGATCTACAGTAACTTAAGTTTCAATGAATTAATTAGTGACTCAAGTGTTACCCAACAGTGCAATACATACTTTCCTCCTAGATGGCACTTAGGGGTAGCTGCAGGTGTTTACAGTCATTAGTAACTCAGAAACACTCCTAGTCTGCAGCCCAGCTTTGAGGGAATACACTCCTTACAGTGGAGTCCTGCTGTCCCTCTTTCACAGACATCTCGGGTTCCAACTTTTGTCCAACAGCTGAGGTAAGCCAGGCTGCCATTAACTGTTGTGCCTGACAACCAACATCAGGGGGTGCAGAGTTACAGAACAACTATCATTTGCCCATTGTGGACATCTCACACAGGGTACATGCTGACATATTAAATTTAACTTCGAGTGGTTCTGGTTTTTTGTCCTCTCTACTATCAGCCTGATCTAAGCCTAAAACCATGGCAAATTTATAAAAAAAAAAAATAAAAATCCATTTTGCAGTTCAATCCGGAGTCAAAATGCACTGTCTGCTGTCTGGCTATCTTAAGTTTCTAGATGGACCCACAGTGGCCTCATGTGAGGGCATTTAAGATCAGGCTGTTTGGAATTATAAGTGGAGCCAAGAACTAGGATTGTCATGTAGGCACATTATGGATCAGGGTTTGTGGAGCTCTCAGTAGGCACACTTCAGATTTTTTTTTATTATTTGTACAGTAGTTCCATACAGCTGGGTTGGGCCTGAGAACATGTCACAACTAAAGCAATGGAGTGAGGCGTTGCCTGGAAAACTGGCAGAGAAGTAACTCATTGGAGAGAAGAGTTTGGTTTATCATAAATCAGCCTTCTTGTCATGGAAGATTACTACTGCTCTTGAAGGAAAACAGGTAGGAACTTCTTGCAACAAGCAAAAGCCCCTGAGGTATATGCTGGTGTCCTTATTTTCTCCCTGGGAGCCCAGCTGGGATTGCCCTCCTGCCAGCAGAGGGGGGCCGGCAGCCACACTGAGCTCCACGCTCTTGCATCACTCAGAGACAACAAATACCCGCAGTGCCCTGCTGGTTTCGACTGAAACTTCTTGACTTTTCTTCTATCACCAGTGACCAGGTCATTGAAAGGGTCCTTCTGAAAACCAGCAAAGGGACACTGACCTGGAGGAAACTAAGTAGGGGGAAAACTTCAAGGAGAACAAGAGGCTCAGCTAAGCAGTTGCTAATTTTAACCTGCTTAGTATGGAAAACATGGCTTTGAGGACTCAGGACTCTTCAAAGTCTTTTCTGTGACTGATCTAGAAATTATTCTCTTTTGTTGACTCCTCCTGACTGAAAGAACTTCCCAACCTCTCATGGATCACAGAGTACTTTACCAGTGTGACAATGCACAAGAGGAGAGCACCCAGTGCCCTGTGCCAACTGTATACTGGATCTGGCCTTGATAGTGGCACAGATATATTTTAAAAAAAAACCAAAACAGGTTACCAGTAGAACTAGATGATGTATAAAATGGGCAGAGGAATAATTTGACTCTTAATGATGTTTGTATTTGTTAATTGGATAAAAGATAATAAAACAATGTGATATGGTAATTTGTTGCATTGAAACAGCCTAAGGCAAATGAGCCCATCTTAACCTGCATGCCCAGTAACCTCAACTCCCTCCATCCCCCTATGATACAAAGACCTTTCACCTCCACCCCAAACTTTGTATACAATTGTACCATTTTTTTAAGATAGCCAGTTGAAAACTCCAATATAATACTGCTTCACTTAGCCTTTTTTCACAGCAGGATAACCATCGTACACCAGGTCCTACAAGCACTATTATGTTAGTATAAGGATATGAGCAATTTAAGATTATATGCCTTATGTTCTACTCAGTCATTATTCTGTACTAAAGCACATTCTGTCCCACAAATAGCTGCACTCCAGCAGCAAGTGATCCCTGCTGACACATTCTGCCCAATGAATTGAAAGACATTGTAGCAATGTACCTGTGTAATTAGCAGACATTCCAGTCAAGCACAAGTTATCACTATGGCAATAAGACACAATAGGCTTGAGGGACAGGGATAACTCATAAGCCACTCGAGTACATTATCTGAAAATAAGTGGACTTTGTTTGACTGAAAGCTCTACCTGCAAAGAACAACCACCTGAGCTCTAACTGAGTTTAAAATCTACAGAGAATATCCTACTGACTTAAACAAGTTTTATTGTTGACTTAATGGAGGCGGGGACTTCACCTTTCTGCATGGTCACTTTTGTGTCAACTCCCCTGAAGAAACTGAACCAGCAAGATTTGCTACTTCTGCAGAGTGCAACACAACAGCTGCTAAGTGGTGACCTAACTTCATTACATTTGGTTCCTCCCAAAATCTAAGTATTCTCAAAAGATACAGATTAAAGATAAAGACTGCTTATTTCAGATCTGAGAGGTTTGCTTCCTGCTGGGCACACAGGCTCTTCCTCTCCCCACACTCACAGGAAGTTGCTCCTGCACTCCAGCTTTCAGCTGTACTGATGGTCTACACCAGCAACAGCTCCAAGTCCAGAGGTAAGGACAAACAGCACACCTAATCCAGCAGCAGGAGGAGATACTGTCATCAGTATATCAGCACCAGCTCCTCAGAGCCCTGATCTCTGATACTTACGCCTGGGTTTTCGACAGTCTTCTTTAATCACATCAAGGGTCACTTTAAGCAGTTCCTTATCATGGTCAGTCACCTGGAGAAAAAAGAAGAAACTGGTGATTTATAGCAGCCTATTTCACAGTACATGGCCTGGCTGTTGAAAAGCAATCCGAGGACATGATGTATTCTAAGCTAACACTGTCATAACTACAGTCTGTATTACACACTGCCTGTAAGACAAATAATAAACATCAAATCTTCAGTTATTATTTGATTACTATTAGCAGCATCCATAAGTTAGGTGAAGAATGTGATACAACAGAATTCAACCCAAAGGAGGCTGGCTGACTCAGTAGGACACCAAGCTTTAACACACTTCAATAAGAACTGTCCCAGGTCCCAGGTTTCAGTGAGCTCAGGTGTGTCAGTGCAGTTTGGTAAGCCAGTGAACTTGGAACAACAACTTGGTGGGTTATACAAAGGTAAAACCAACAGTGCTGCAGATAAGAGTAAATGGAGAGCACTTGGATGTCCAGCTTCTCTTTCTGAAACATTTCTACTTTTTCTGCAATATTTCTACTGTTTCTACTGACTATGAAAGTCATCCCCCTGAACTTGTTTACAACCACAGCTCAGTTCCTTACGTGGTATAAGTCCTTGGAGCTACCAGGTTTCTGGAAAACCACTCCTTTTTCTTGTAGCATCTTTATTGCTTCCTTAAAAACATTGTGAATCCTTTTGGAACTGGAGTTACCTTTTGACTTCACCTGGATGGGAAGAAAGAAATGAAGCAGATGGTGAGAGATCTCAGCTCAACTAAAGTTACAGCAAAAGCTCCAGATGCTTTCAAGAGAAAGAGGACTTCAGGTCCTCTTTAATGTGAATTTTGTTACATATTTTTCTTCATTTAGTAATTCACAAGTCATATCTGCTATGTATGAACTAACCAATATCCATGAGCTTTAAACAAAACCCGAACACCAGAAGCTTGTCCATTTTTAAGGAATCACAACTTCTAAACTTCTTTCTTTGTATTTAGCAGCTATTTGATTATGTACTAAGAACTCCTTCTTGGAATATGCTTGTGATGCTTGCAGAGCATTTGACTATTTATCTAATCAAGCTTTTTTCAAATTCAGAGTTTTCCTTGTAACAAGGGTAGAAAGGTAGGAAGATCAGGTTTTGTAAGGTGATATTCAGGAGGAATCTAAGTGCTGAGGACTAGATTCCCATCTCCCAGTTTCAATCAGGGAAAGGAGAAAATAAAAAAAAACAGTATTTTTTCCTTGTCCCCTTTGTTTCCAAATTTGTACAAACATTCTGGCCATGATCTCAGTAGCTTCTCCACAGCCTAGTGAAGTGAAAGGATAAAGAGCATGCAAGAAATTAAGACAAGTATATGAGATAAGAGAACAAAGGATTTGAGTTTTGAGGAGAGGTGGGAAATGAGCTCTTGACAATGTGCCTGGATGTCCATAACTGAGGAGGTTATTTAGAACACAGGGTTCTGTGTTTGGGACACATCTAACAGAGCAGGAAGGAAGCAGAGGGAAAAAAAAGGGAAAAGCAGGGTTTGTTTGAAAGTAGGGCAGAGCTTTGACACTGGAATGACAGCTAAGGAAGAAGAAGGAAATAAAGAATCAGTTGTGGAGAGGGAAAAGTATAGGTAGATGATTTACTCTTCTCCATCTGTCCTGCTCTATCCTTCAGCCTCCCATTTATCTACACAGACTGCTTCAGTTCCCCAGTTGTTGTTTTCTCATCTGTTGGGAGCACGCTGTGCTCTCTGTGGTTTTCTTTGAGAAGAGAGTTAAACTGCTTCCCACAAGCCAACATGAGATAACTAGAACCACACCAGAGCAACCAAAGCAAGATTTGCCAAGCCATTTCTTCAACTATCACTGTAACTGCTCCCACCCTGTTCTGAACAAAAGTATCAGACTTCACATATCCTACTTCACTCACCAGAAGCACTCAGAAGCCTTGGAGCAAAACAGGCAATCATCACCACTAGAATGAATTCACATGAATATGCAAAATGGACACCACATGAGCAATGGAAAAACATCTTTTCACAAAACATTAATTCAATACATTTGCAATTCTCAAGTAACACTCCAACTGCCTCTAAGCCCAGAAGCTGATGTACCTAACAGGGAATAGTTCAGACATCTAAAAGGGATATTGGTGTTAGCAGGCATCACAAGTTTCTCCATTCCCTTTGTCCAGCTAATCCTCAGTATTTCAGCAGGCCATAATCACATCTCTCTCTCTCTCTGTCCCACAGCTGATAACTCTTTTTCCTCTCAAATCAGCAGTAAAAACTAATTGCCTAACAGTTCAAGATAATTAACATAGAAGAATGGCTAATATTCTCAGTTCACTTTTCTCTGTTTCAGACTGAAGGGCTTTGTCTGTCCTCCTGTCTACCACAGCTATCAGTCTGGATAACAACAGGCTTCACTTCTAATTACAAACTTGACCATGCATCTGGACACCATTCCAGTTACAGCATTAATACCACCACCATATTCCTCTTCATAGTCCCTCTTCTGATGAACTGAAGAAACAAACATAAAATATAGCAGGAAGGATTAGGTGAAGAGTGAACATTTTCTCATGGAAAAGCACATTCTTGTAGCCCTATGTAAAATGAAGACACTTTGCTTCTCATTCAAATGCAGTAGTAAATCCTCAAGAATGTAAGAAATTGCTAGCAAAGCAACAACTCAAGACTCTGATCAATTTTTAATGTGAAAGCAAACATTTGGGGAGGAAAAAAAGATAAAAATATCTCCAAAGAAGCACAATAATTATTCAGTTTGGCTTAACACTGAGATCCTGTCAGAAAAGAGAGATAATTAAAAACAGACTCTGTGTGAACTGACACACAGCTCAGCCTGGATGGATACTGAAACAGAATCACTAAGAATGCAAGTCAAGGCAATGACAGAGAGAAGGCAGCGAGGCCTCATAATAAGTAAGCAGCTGCTACATATCAGCACCCTCTCATATGTGCTGCAGAGTCCATGCCAAGGGGCTCCATGGCAGAAGGACTGTTCCTGAAAAACAAATGAGGGCTCCTGCCCACTTTAGTATTATTATATTATGTATTCATATAATAATATTATATATTATTGAGCTTTAATATTATCATAAAATGACAGGAAAAATTTGGGATTTTTTCCTAGTATGCTTTAGAATATGCTTCCTCCTCTACATTTGTCTTATCACTAAATTGAGCCCTCATTTCCTCTGGACTTGGATCCCACTCAGATTCAATGTACACCCCAATTTGTGATTTAGTCTACTAAGTAGATATCTGCAGGAGACTGAACATGAGGCTATACACAGAGAGAAGAAATTTAGAACTATGAAATCCTAAGTGATTTCACATCCCTGCTTACTCAGGGGTAATTCCTTCCGAGTCACAGCCTATTAGCCATCCCTTTATTTTTACAAAGCTTTCATCTCAGAAATGCAGATATTAGGTAGTTTAACTGCCAATCCAAAGCACCACCAAGATTTGAATCTGAATTTCGAATGTACCTCTCACAATGTTCACACCTCATTTTGCAAAGTGCCCCTTTTGGGCATGCCTTAGATTTCTTAGTGCACCATTTCAGGTTCTCTGAAGTACTAACAACTTCCCCCCCCCAAATCAGGACCTCTTCAAATAAACTAGGCTGTACATCCAAACACAGGAGTGTTCAAAAATCAGTCATCACTTTTACAAAACACATGTTTTGTGTGTGTGTGTGTCTTGAGATAGAAGCAGCTATTAAATAATAATTTTACCTTCCCTACCCTCACTCCCAAGACCAGCCAGCAACTCTGTAGCAAAGCCAACAGAAGAATCTATGTATCCAGAATTAAGTTAGTATTTTAATCAATATATTCCATTGGATGGTTCTCACACAGCTTAGTGGGCTGGTGCTGTACAACCAGTTATTCTCAGATCTTTAAAACAAGACAAACTCTCTGTACAATCAATAGTAGGTCAAAGAAATGAAGTGGTACAGGAATTAGTCAGTCTGTTCAAAACACTGAAAGTATGTAACCTTTGACTCATAATGAATCACAACACACCCTGATGGTGTTAAAAGTTTCCTGGTATAACCACACACATGATTCCACTCCTGGAATCGCCCTTTGCAATTTGTCATCAGGTGTTTAATCCTTGGCTTAGGCAGGTGACAATTTTAGTAATAGTGATTCTGGACATGTCAGTCCCAAAGTCCTATAATAAGCTTTGCAATATACATATTTAAAGCAGCAGTGAAGCTTCCTCAAGGGGCAGAAAGACAAGCACATAGCATTAAGAACATATAATGCACTGTGTTACACCTACAATGAACAGGGTATATACAGCAAGTGTGAACAACACTGTTCAACTCCCTGCTTTAAGTACTTGGCATTGCTGACCTTGAGATAATATTGAAATCAGGAGAAGCGCAAACAGCACAGTCTGGAAAGCACAACCCAAGTTATGTGTCCAAGTGCCATACACAAACTGGAACAGTAACACTAAAACAGCACATGCTACAGCTTATGCATGAAAGAATTGTATAAAAATGGCTAATCAAGACGCGCTGGTTGCAAAAAAAGGAACCAAAGGCTTGTCCATTTGCCAAACAGAATTGCCTAAGTCCAGCAAGTACACTCTGGAGGTTCTCTAAGCACTAAATCACTTTTTCTGGTTTTGCTTGTAGTCTTCCTTCTGGTACCCCTCCAGTCTCAAAAGTCATTTGTTTCAAGGGATAAGGAAAAGGCTATAGCTTAGGGATAGACAGGGCACTAGTTATGCAAAATAAAGCTCCACTGACTTTAAAGATTGTAACAGATTTGTTAATTTTTAACCATTTTTAGAAACACCAGGCCTTTCAATTCTCTTACCCATCCTCTGTAGACTATAAAATTAAATTTTCCCTAGTATCTGTCTGAGAAAGGGACATGATTTGAGTTCTGCCATGTGCACCTGTTAAGAGGGAAATTTATTCTGAAAAGCCAGAAGACTGCACTGGTGGGGAGCCATTAAGACTGGAACTAGGTATTGTAGGACATGTATGGGATGTGGACAGGGCTCAGACACAGTAATGCTGAAAAGGAACAGAGAGATGCTTCCTACCTCAAGCTATCCCAGCTACCTCCTTCCATCTTCGCTCCCTGCTCCACTCCACTGCCAGTGACTCCATAGCAGCTCACCACCTCCCTGGAGAAAATATTCCATGGGGAGATACCCTCCCACTACGATGAACACTGTGCAAGTACTTTAAAAGCTGGGAAAGAGATGAAGGGACTGCACCACATCTACTAGGATCACAAGGAAAGGAAGAGAAAGGCAACAAATAGTTTAACAGTAACTGTGCTCTAGAACACTGGAATTGGGGTAAAAAAAAAATTAAAGTTATACATCCAAATAACTCATCCTTTGACATCCAGGTAAAGTGCAAGAAGTGAACAAGTTGCACATTGTCACATGGCCTAATTAGTTTGGTCCACCCATCTAGCTCCTGCCCTGCCAATTAGGCATGAAATAACATTGTTCCACATCAGCAACACCATTTATCCTTTTGGTTTGAGGGCAATGCCAAACAAAAGACTACAGAAGTGAAAAGAAAAGAAGAGGGACAGGAATCAGATCTATTACACTTATTTTCATGGATTGAACTGGGTACTTGACCCTTTGCCGATTATGAGAAATGACACTTTCTAGAGACAGTAAAGGAACAACAAAGTGCATTTCCAGAGCATTACTAGGCACTCCTCTTAAGGCACTCAGGCCACTTGACAACTGCAGGTCCTTTCTTATGCAAAGACAGATAAGCCTCTTTGCAAGAAATTAATACCAAAGGGCAACAGAGAGAACCGCAATTTCTAAATAAGCATCTGTGTGCCCAAATTCCTGGGACGTACATTCACGCCCTTGTATCAGGGTCAGGAACAACTATTAATTATTACAATAGCTCTTCATGAATGCTAACAACACTGATGCTATATTGCTGTTCTTGGTTTGGGTTTTTTCATGGTTTTATTTTTTGCTTTTTTTTTTTTTGGTTGGTTGGGATTTTGTTTGGTTTGGATTTTGTTGGGTTTTTGGGTTTTTTTCTGAGCCGTTCGATGTTTGTTCTGCACCAGTTCCTACTTTAAATGGCTTTGCAAGTTTTTTATCTTGATCTTTCTATAAATGCTGAAACTTCTAAGATGGAAGTTTCCAGTATTGGTCATAATGACCACTACTTCCTTTAATGTAAAGTGTTTGGGAACTTTTAGTTCTGTTCCAGCTAGTTTAGGAAGCACCCTATTCTATGTTGGATATTGTAGTATCAAACTTTTCTGTCAAAAATGAGAATAGCTCCTGCCAGTGTTAATATCCATATTTGCTTTAAAACAAACAGAAAATGCCTTAAATAAAAACAAAAAAACCCCCAACTCAACTATGAAGAAGCAGCTATCAGCAGAAGTTCAATGAGGCCAACAAGAATAGAGCTACTCTTAATTATTATTTGACCTCATCTCCAAAGGACTGGTTTTCGTGTTGCTTTGTTTCTTTTTTTAAGAATTAAACCAACATCAGAAATCAACATAACATAGCACTTAACATTACAGTGCACATCAAAACACGGCAGTGAAAATGACTGCCGGGGATTTACTTCTCCACAGAAAACTGAAAAGTAAACAAGTGAGTCACAACACTCCAGTTTAAGTTTCAGCTGCCACTGCTATCTTGGTAAAAGATGTAACCACCAGTTTTGCAGAAATCTACCACACCAGCTGAGAATCTGGTTTGTAATTTATCCAACTAATGCAGAGCAATATAAAACCATTTTACAAAATGGTTTTTGTTCTATTTCCTATTCTGCAGTTGATTAAGAGCATATTAACTGATTGGAAAGTTTCTTAACCGTTTGGTTACATCTGTAAACTGATTTCTGTTTAATCCCATCTTTTGATGCTTTCGATCATGGCCTTTCACAACTCAGGATTTCCAACATGAGAAACATATGGCAGTGAGTACTGTTCATCCACTCATCATAATCCCCTTTTGAAAACTACATCTCTATTAATATATTGAGCTTCAAATGAGAAACAAGACAAAGACTTGTGCTCCCTTCTCCTGATCAAATTCAGGATCTGGAGAATCTGTTTGTCAAGGACCTTCAAGTGATCTCCTTTTCTGAGACTGGCACTATTTACAAATCTAAATTAGGTAGTGCCTGTTGCAGGCTGTAAGGTTGCTCAGCCCTAGCACAAGATTATCCCTAATAACTGAATGTCCTTACATGGCTTTGTTCAGCCCGGTTTTATACGTCTAAAGTGACAAGGTTTCCTCAAGCTCTGTAAATAATTCATGCATAAAGCTAAAGCACTTGTGGTTTTTGAATCCTAGACACCAGTCTCTTATCTGTTTATGCTTTAAAAAAGGACATGGTATTATTTCCCTCCACCCAAAACTTTGAGCAAATATATTCACTCACCTCCTGACAGCTGGGACTGGGTAGATGCACATCCACCAGTGACACCAGAGTATCAATTGTTTCCAGCTCCTGCTGGTAAAAGGTCTGAATTTTGTTTTCTAATAGAAAGCCTTGCACTTTCTCATGCAGCATATGGATTGAGAAATTCTGACCCTCCAGGCCACTACAAGGATACACAGAATATGTCAAAAGGCAAGAAATGGGGTTTAGAACAATTACCTAGAGTCAGCCCACTAGACAGATTTCAAAGGTCAAAAGGTATTTTATTATTCTTAGAGAATTTTATTTTAAATTCTTAATTAAATCAAAATAATTTTATATGCATAAACATTCAATTGTTCCTTTTCAATCATTTGCTGTAACAGTTTTGTGATTTTAAGATCTGCAGTCTCTGAAACCACACTACATGCATCAGACCTCCCAACAAGCATTCAGCTACCCTTAACTGAATACAGAAATGGATGTTTGATTCAGTTTATTGAGGCCATGTATTTGTGATTTGATGATGACAAGGGTAGCAGGGCATTTCAATGGAATAGCTCCTTATCCTTACATATAAAATAAAATCAGGAAGGGACACTTCTCCATCCTCTCTGCTGACCTCAGCCCCAAATCTTGCTCAAAATCCTATTTTATCTCACTAGATGCAAGAGGTCTATACACAGTATTTTACTACCTTCCTAATATTCACTTTGGTTGATCACATTTCATTTCTCAGATACCTGGACAGGTGTCTCATCTGTATGGATCATCAATCATCTGGGAGAAAAGCAGGCTGCTACTGTATGTTTATGCAGAGTCTAAATCAGAGTTGGGCCCTGTTCTATCTTTCTCTACAGTTATTACAATAACAAAAAAAAAATCATAAAATCCCACACTTTACCCCAAGACCAGTCTGGATACTTCATTTACCTCTGTCCTTCCTCAGGGCCTTGGAAAGGTTTATCATAAACTTCTCTATAGAGACAGGGGAGCTCCAGTATTCTTGAAATCTGAACATCATACAAAGGATCATCCACTTTATCTGGAGGAGCAAAAAGAACACACAGACTTGGCCAGGAGTGCTGTATCAATTTTTTTAAGCAAGCAAACCTGAGGCACCACAACAGAGCTTCACAGCCAGTATTAAATTGGCAAATGTTGTTCACCATTGTTTTTACAAAAACAAAACCACAAAGGCTACTCCTTCTTTTACAGTTTACTAGGAGGTAAATGGTCTGTTGTGGTGCATTGCAGATTATGCTTTTGTCTGACAACTTATTTAACCAGAATTTATGATCTCCATTTTACCTTTCAACAGCCTTCATCCATTAAATGAAGTTAACACATAGCAAAGAGCTTTATTTGGGCCAAAGTGAGAGCAATTTAGAGACTATTTGATTGCATGGCTCTCTTTGGTGTTATTACCAGCACCTGGATGGGCTGTATATATTCATAAATCTTCTGTCTGGAAAAGAGGATTGAGTTCCCTCGCAAATTTTAGCTAGAGCTGAAAAATCTAGACTTTTTATCTGAATTACAAGGGTTTTTAAAAGACAGGGTTCTCCCCACCAAAGAAATAATTCTAGTATTACCTCTGAAAGATTTCACTGGGGAAAACCAACTCTTACACAACAGCACAGACGCAGAACAGAGAAGAAGTTATGTAACTGGAAGCTCCCAGGGTGTAAACAGTAAACTGCAGAGCCCTGCTGCCCAAAGAGCTGTCAGATACAGAGGCAGCACCTGCATGCAGATCTGTGCCTGGGTGACTGAAGGTGACTGAGTCATCCCTGCAGAGCCAGGGAGTTCAGGAGAACCCAGGTTTCAGTGGAACACTGCCCACGTGCTGCTGCCTGCCCTTGGAATAGATTGTACAGGCTGCAAGAAACAGCAGACACTTCCCCAAAGCATAACTCCCTGGATGAAGTGGGACATGAGAGGTCACCAGCCCCTTTCCCATGGGCTTGGCTGGTCTGCTTCAACACAGAGCAAGTCACTCTCACAGATATCCAACCACAGTATCTGCACAGCATTCTTGTAAGGATGTTAATCATCTTTTATAGTTTTTCCAGGAATGCCTTATTTACAGGCAATCTAATCCCACACATTAAGTAGTGTGTCTTCTAACCTTACACTGCTAAAATTGAAATAAAGATACACAGATGAAAATCTCTTTAGAAAAATGAGATGCTAGAAAATAAAGTGGAAAATATTCAATTAATTACATACAGCTTAGACAGTTTCACAGATTCAGACAACTGAGTTACATAAGTCCCTGGTTCATAATACTCACAGAAACTTGAAGCCTGAATTTCTCTTTGTTGCCTATAGGTTCGGATGTGACCTCTGACCCTGACAACATCCCCGATCTCCAGCTTGGTTTTCTGGCTCACTGTTTCTTGGAGCTTCTTCATCTGTTCAAACACAATAAGACTGCTGGGTGTGCTTGGACGACCTGCAAGCAGTAAGGGAAAGGGGATCAGGCATTAAAGTCAAGAGGACTGTCCTTTTGCATTCATCCACCTATGTATCATGAGACCCACATTACTAAAAAAAGGATAAGGTCCCAGGCACCATGTGTCCTGGGTAGCAAAACTTTTGGTGACAAAGTTAGTTTACAGTATTATATTTATTTAAATAGTTCACCTGGGGAAAGTACAGAAGGGAGGAGATTCGGATTCACCCCTGAAAATGTCGTAGATGGGTTGCAAAATTGAATAATTAATGGGGTTTGTGGTTTTTTGATTTTGTCATGCTAAGAGGATGAGAGGGGAAAAGAAAGGTCTGCTGAATCTTTTATATAAAAGACAAATGAGTCATCTGAGGTGGGGCCAAACCATTCATGTGATGCAATTCAATGTCTACACTGCGGTGTAGCAACTTGACAGAACTTCATATTTACGTAACTCATCTTTGCAGGACAGTAAATCCTTCATAGCTTAAAACCTGATGAATGATCCAAGTATCTCTGATCACAATTACAAAAGGCTGGAAGAAAGTTTCCTGTGCCACCTAGGAACTTATTTTAGCAGGTATACAAATGAATTAAGTTTCCATTATTAACAGAGTGTCCATCCAAACACTACTGATGTACTTGTAAAATAAGAACACAAAGCTGAAACAAGCATTCTGGGCTCTCATTCTATTTCAGGCAGTATTTCATGCAATTCCTTTTCACGAATTTAAGTTCCTCATAAAAAAATGATTTGATTGTGTCTCCCCTATTTTTTTAATTTTTTTTTTTTTTTGAGAGTTGTGCCAGAACATAATCGCTCTAAAGTGAGAGCTGTCTTCTAGATTCCAGTTGGGACTGTTTGTATCACTTGTCATATCATTGTTAAATATAAGTATGAATCATCTGTGTATGAATTACGGGTTTGTTCCACAGACATCAGAGTTTTTAACTTTTACATCCTTTCCTTTCTCCATTCTATGCATATGTATCTCTAACACTGCAGATGACACTAGTAACATTTATTTCAGTAGGATATGATCAGCTCCATATTAGGTTTGTCAATCTACTACATGGGTTCCCAAAAAGATCCAAAGTAGAAAGCATTTCATACTTTGATCTATAAGAAACGGTGGGAGAAAAAGCAAAGAGAAAGTCAGAAACTATTGAGTTGTTCTGTTAGTGAGTGCAATAATAGATTCATTTCAAATGCACAATTACCGCACATTTAGGACTTTCCCAAATTGTAAAAGACTGCTGGCATCCTCCCACTGTGTTTTAAGCTACTTTCAAGTTCATCGCTGACAGTGTACGTGTGAGCAGGAGAATATGAATACAAAGGGAGGATTAATCCTGAAACCACTGTATCACAAGTGAAGGTCAATGGATTGACTTTGGAAACAGAAGCTGGGGAATATTTCCAGCCTAGTTTCTCACGAGATGAAGTCACAAAAAGAACTATAAGAAGAGAACTCGCTGAACAATGTCACAGCATAGAATTTAAATATCATATTACTCAGATAAGGAAAAGGCAGGGCGGGACATAATGTAATGGTTTTATTGGCCATTGAATACAACACAAAAACTAACACAAAATCCCTAAAATGGCCCAGGTTGTAGGAGATGATGGTTTAAAATAAATTAAAAAAAATTGCATAGTTGAGTTTGCTCTTCTGCAAGTTTGATCACTTATGAAATTATGTAAGACAGACCTAGGAAAAAAGGCACCATCAAAAGAGGAATTATTTACTTGATAAATTACCTGATAAAGGTGTTTCTCCTACCATGGGATTTTTCCAGCAGATACAATTTATAACTCCAGTACTATCATCCACTGCAAAAAAAATTAAAAAAAATAAATCAAGAATTACAGAGTAGGAAAGCAGGTAGACATGTTCCGGGAAGTGAAGATACATAGATATGTAGGGAGATAACTGCCAAGGAAATCTCAGTCCAACCAGTTTGAAAGGGAAAGTGGGTGTCTAACCCCACTTATACCTCTGAAATAATTTCCACAGTCATTTCAATCATGGAAGTAGCTCAGCACCAGATGTGTTTATGTGCATGGTCACCGAAGTAACAGGTATACTCTCAAGAAAAGATCAAGCACTAATTTAAATGATGAGGCTTCAACACATATATTGAATACTAAAGGGTTTTAATCTCATTGACAAGGTCAGAAGAACCAGTGTTGAAAGCCAAAGTTAGACAAATTAAAACAGGAAACCAGGATTAAACCACAGAAGCATCTCTGTTACAGTGAGAAAACAGCATTCTAACATTGGGGGATACAACATGTGAATAAACTAGAGGTGCTGCTGCATTGGTTTCCGTGCTAATGTTGTGTTCAAAGTTTGCTGGCCTTTCCTGTACAAGAAGATGTCTGAGGAGCAGAAAGGCAGCTCTTCTAACCAGGAAGGACAGAAGACAGCATATGCTCATGGTTCTGCTCTAGGCCAGGAATTCCCAATTTAAACTATAGGTAGTGGTGGCATGCATGCCACTTCCGCTGCAGGAAAAGCTCAACACCTTTTCCCGAGCATGGCAGCTGCCTAGTTTTTCCTGTTTTGCCAGTAGCCAATCAAAATAAGTTTTATAATTTCTGCCCCAGGCACTGCATTGTCAATGACAGCAGAAAAAGACAAACCCCAAAGGAAACTAAAACCTATCAGAAGAATCAGCTGTTCTACAGATCGAGAGACTGTATATAGATGGCCTGTTCACCAAACACTCTCTATATGGAAAGGCACTAAATGTCTGCCAAGGATCATCCAGCCAACGTTCCAAGCAACATTGCTTCTTGAATGTAACCATCTCCAATACTCAGATTCCACTCTTCACGAAAGGAAACCTGCAATTTTCTTCTGCTCCTTAAACCAGATCCATGATTAAAAAAGTAACGACAATGTTTACCAGGAAGGTGCTGATTGGTACCTGCAGTCACTTCCTTCAGAAACCATAGCATCAAAGCAAAATGCCTTTGCATTGTCTCATGTGTTTTCAAACAATCTCCCTATTTAGGGGGTCTAATTTCAAATCATTGTCTTGCCTTCCTGTTTCCCAGTAGTTTAGCTGCACATTACTATTAAAAACATACAACATTTATAAGATGCAGGCAATTCCAAACTCCATCACAAAAGTATGTTCATCTTTTCTATCCCTCTTTTGAGCTCCTGTGTCTGCAACTATTTCAGCAGCTTTAACTTTGTACCAGAGCACAGATAACGATCTAACTGGTAGGATTTCCTCTCTTGGTATAGACAGACAGCAACTATTTTAGCAGTCAGAACCTACATAAACCATGCCAAAGCCATCCACGCAAGCCAGCAATGAGAAACAGGGCAGATGACATTTCACTATTACATTCCTGAAGCTTCTAGATGTTCCAGAGCTCTTGACTGGCTGTTGCACCAAATGAAACACACTTCCTAAGAAGGGCTTGGAAACCAAGCAAACAAGACTGAAGGATTAGGAGGCCACACTCCTCCTCCTCAACATAACAGCTGAAACTGAAGTCCTGGAGAGACTGACCAGTACATGACCATACAGAGAATCTGGTAGCAGAGCAAGGTGCTGAAATAAAGTCTGCCAGTTCATAGATAAAAGCTTTGAGCAAAAAGACAAGTGACTCCTGAAGCACAGATGAATGAGAACTCTTGCAATTGTATTCTAATTAGACAGGAGAATGTTAATCTATTTTAAATGCACTCAAAGGGTCTACAAGCTTTTGAAAACTTCCTGTGCTCCCTGTGCCGCCCTTCCTCATCTCTTTGGGTTTAAAGTTTTGTTTATTTGGTTTTTTGTAAGTTTGCCTTTTTTTTTTCTCCCCTGTTTCTTGTCCATTTGGATTTGGTTTTTTTGACTCTTACTTAACTATTTGAGGGGTAGCACTGTCAAAGCTACTTTAAACAAGATAATTGCATTCATTTTTATTACTTTATGACAAAAAGGGTACGGTTTTTGTAAGGCCTGCCAGAACCTACTGAGATCCTGGTAAGATTTTTTTTTTTCATTTGTTTTTAAGGCAAGTGCCTTTCATCCTTTCAATTAGGTTCTGGAGCATAAGGAAAACCACATGTGATGTTTGATTTTGTTAAAAAGGAAGGGGGGAGAAAAAGAGGTCAGAAAGGTGCATTAGCTAAAATATGAGCTTGGTCAAAGCTACATTTTAATTGGATATCCTCCTCCTAGCTGATCATAATAACAGCAATAAACAATCAAATCAAAATGTCAAAATCAGGTTTTAAAAAAATAAAAATTACATGCTGTGTCAGACAGGAAAGAGTCAGTTCACTCCCTTTTACAATTATTATTTTATCACCGGTTCTGGTTTTCAGCAGAGAGGTCCTAAGATTCTTTAAAGTGAGAGGTGTGTATTTTGAAGCAGACAGACAGGAAATGGGGGGGGGGCATAGTGGCAGTGACACAAAGACATTTCAGTTCCCTATCAGAGAAAAAGTACAAAGGGAGAATTGCTTTGTAAGTCACTTTTAAGCAGATGGAAAGTGAGCAAGCCTTGAGCAGTGTGTGGCATTCCAACTGATGCAATACCTGATCCATGACTCACAAACCGGAGTCTTGAACTGAGAAATGCAAGAAGTTATAAGCAGGAAACTGTCTAAGAAGTTAAAATTTTACACTGTTGGAGTCGGCCTGAATGAAAGGGAGGGCAGGCTGGGGAAGGGCACCTGGCAGGTAGCCTGAAAGCTCAAACCAGGAACCGCCGGAACAAAGCGTGGAGTTGGATGAGACAGGACAGCAGGAAGCAGGCTCACTGAGAGCTGCACTTAAAGGTTGGCTGATCTAACACTAAGGCCTCAATCCCAGTACTCCACAGTTTCTTTTTATTTCTATTCCTCTGTTTTCTGCCCCAGTCAAACATTTTCAACAGGATTACTTGTTAAACAGATGCTGAGGATAGCACTGAAAACTTTTGTCCATAGAATTGTTTTGCCCTGGTCATTTTGATTCCGTCTTCTCATGAAGTGATGACTGTATTTGCATACTAGTGCAACAAAAGAACAATAGCTGAAGTTCAGTTTACGTTTCAACACTTCATTACATCATCAATTACATCTCCACCTCTTAACTCAGGTATTTGTTTACGCTGTGCCATTTCAAGTGCCAGAGAATCTTGTTCATCAAAATATTTACTGACAACTTATTATTTAGCATAATGGCGAGATAATAACAAACATTCAGAAATTAGACTTAAAAAACCAAAATCTAAAAAATATTCACACTAAGACACTTGCAAGGAGAGCACAGAGTCAACTCTCAGCAGCTGCATCCTGTGCAGGGTATGTTGGCTGCACTAGCACCCAATGCTACTCTGCAGCAGTATGATGCAACTGCAGGTGTTGTGGAACCTGGGACCTGGTTAAGTTGTCACCTGTATCTTCACAATACTCCTGTGGGCCCAGGAAATGCTGCTGACTCAATTTTATAAGCAAGGGAATTTGGAAGAAGAGGCACTCCATGACTTACCTCTGTCAGGTGGAAACCCATGGCAGAGGAAGACACTGGGCACAAGGGCTTCAACAGGATCTGTGCATTTGCCTCCCCTTCCTACTGAGAGGTCACCTCCCCCCACCTTTTGAAACTTGCCACATCACCACTAAACTCTGCTTTTTTTCCCAGATGAAAAAGACAGCTGAACAAAATGACAATCAGATGTTTCCATGTTAATAAAACCGTCTGAATACTGGGAAAAGCAATAGGGAGGAGACACTCCCAGCTGGTGTTGGCAAGGACTGGTACTATGATGCTTGAGTTAGATTTGCTAAGACTCTTGTGCATCTAAACATAAACAAGCTCCTGACCACTATTAAAAAGCTATTAAAAGCTGCCTCCAAGATACAAAAAAACATACAAGAAGTCAGAAGGGATTTCTAAGGTTCAAAAGAGGAAGAAGTAATTTCCCATTTGCAGACACTGTTAAATCTGTTTGTCCCTGACCAAAGGAACTCCATATATATGAGAGAAAGGTGGTGGAGTCCAGTGACAAAGCAACAATCAAAATTAAGATTTGCTATATGACCCCAAATGAATCAGTTACTCTGTTGTAACTATTTGATTCTCTCCTTTTGAAGTGAAGATAAGCAGTAGCTTCCCTAAATTTGCCAAGTAATCTGATATACATTGTATTAGGATAAGAGCACAGTTGTTTCAAGAACAGACAATGATCAAATAAGGAAGCCTTTCAGTTCCAATAGTAACTAAGATTAGAAGGCTGATAACTGCAAGAAGAAAGAAAGAAACTTTCCTTACCTCCATAATTATAAAAGGCATCTCTCTCCTTCGTTTGAACCACTGTCCCGACAACATCCACTTGTCTTACTGGATGTCCATTATAAAAGAATATACCTAGACATGGAACATGCTTGATTAGTGTAACTATTTCTTTCAACATCCTACCCTACACATTCACATTTATCAGTAAAAAACATAATTTCTTACATATTTAATATATCTGAAATTATACAATGCCTACACAGGAAAAATTCCCTGGACACTGAAGACTAGGAACACTAAAAGGAAAAAGTATCAGCTCCACTTGGGATACCAAAAGCTTGCTTTTATAGAGTGTCAAAACTTCATTAACCTCGTTTTCTTGCACATTTGGATCCGAAAAACAGCTGCAGGCATTAGGGTTTTTTTAATTTCTTGTTTTGTTGTTTCATTTGGGTTTTTGTTTTGTTTTGCTTTGTTTTGTTGTTTGTTTGTTGGTTTTGAATTTTTTTTTATATCTTCATCAGGCTTCAGAATAAATAATAGAACACAAAGGAAGCAGTTTGAGCTTCTCACAATGCAGCTGTTCCTGATTAAGGCAGAGCCTCTGAAAGGAAAACTAACATAATTCTGTCTTTCATTTCTAGAAGAACAGGAGCCATGGGGGCAGGGTGAGAGCAACAACCCTCTCAGATTGAGGAGTACACTACTGCAGTCATTGTGGACTGCATCCTGAACTTCAGTTTCTGAAAAAAACACGTTCTAAAAACATCCCTTCAAAGCTATTTTTGTGCATCTGTAAAGATAACTTGAATAACACATAGAAACGTGTCCAGGAAACAGTGAGAAATCAGAGCCCAGTGGACTCTGACAGCACCGAGGTTGCCTCATTCTGTAATCCCTTTCAAGAGAATGACAAATGTTGTTAACAAACACCAATGTAAACATTATACACTGAGGCTTCACAGTGCACTGTCAGGAGAATGATAGGGCAATAAGCCCCAAATATACCCTGGGCTGGCTAGTTTTCAGTGCATGTGTTTTCTCCAGCTTTTGAATACTGCTGCTTTACTGAAGTATGCCATCTGGGATGTTCAATAACTGTCTTCTGAAAACTAGATAACTCGAGGGACTCGAAAGGGAACATTTGGCTCTATACACTGTGGCAAGTGTTATTCTTACAAAGGGAAAGAGAAGCAAGGCAGCAAGGGAGTCAGAAAAAAGTCCTGTGTAAAAAAAAAACAACCCAAAACCAAAATCCAAAAATAACTTGTCCTACATAGCTAACAGCCTTAAGTGAGCCTGAAATTAACTTTCTTCATGCAAGACAGAGAGAAAATCCAAAAGCTTTAGAAGAAATAATAAGTGATCAGCCAAGCAGATCATAAACACAAGTTTTGCACATGAAAATCCATTGCAATGTTTTGAGGATGCATTTATCACTCTCATTGTAGATTTGGCTGTACTAATCATGCAGTCAGTGGTCAGGTCTGGCATAGAAAATGTTTGGCAGGTCTGTCCACTTTCCTCTCATTTACCAGGACACTGTTATAGAAACCCTCAATGGAGATGCTCCCAGTGTACATAGTTATTCATTCAATCTTACAACATCTCAATAAAAGGTCTGGGCTGGTTTCAGGGTAAGTCTGTAGAGCAGAGACTCCAAGCTCCTGATTATGCAAACAAGCAACATGTTATTATGTTCATTTCCCAGTTAGTAAGCTGAGTTTTAGCAAATGACAGAGACTGAATAAAACTCTCCATCCCCATAAATTCACATAGAACTCCACCCTTACTCTCCAAGAAACTACTCAAATTAATTTGAAAGACGAAATTATATTTAACCTATTAAAAGCTGTTGGACTTGATGACTTTGAGGTATAAATTGTTTCTCCTGCCAGTTTATTTGTTCAAATTACGTCCATATTGGTAGCAATAAAAATATACTAAACATTTGAAGCCACGGACAAACATGTTCTTTGAGGCTCCTAATAACCCAGTAAACAGCACATACAGCACTAGGCTCTTACCACAACAGGAAGCCACAGCAGGGGTACAAGGGCCTATAGATACAGAGCTCTCTAGAGCAGGTGCTGTTCATGTCTTTACCAGCATTACTGAGCACTGAGCTGTTTGACATTGCTTTAATTATTATTACCTCCTTTTATGCTATTTGTAGCTTCCCTGTCCTGTTGATAAGCTGTCACAATGCAGTAGTGCATGATAACTCTGAGAAAAGCTTATTTCCATGATGTGATTATGTGTTACAACTGAGTTTGACACCCACTCTCATTGCAAGGCCTCTAAGACAACACAATTGCTGTTTTTATCTGGGAGGTTTTCCAGCCTTCTTGTCACCATTTATAGCAGGAGAGTAATTGGCCAGGCTTACTGCTTTCCTCCGTGTTGTTGTAAGGCATTAGTCATAAAGGCATCAAATCCTAATGCTTAAAAATGGAAAGAAAAAACTCATTAGGTCATTTAGTCCATTTCCTCAGGGCCAATACAAGACCATTTCATGGCAATCTGTACAGTCAGGATATAAACAATCCCAGTGAAGGGTATCCCACCTTTTTCCTGGGAAGGTCTCTCCATGGTTTAGCAGATGTCATTCTAAGGATGTTTTTCCTGACATTCAGTCTGTATTTCTTTCCATTCCTCCTAGTTGCAACTCTTTGTTTTGCAGTCATTCATTCTTAATTACCATTACTTAATGACTGATTTATAGCCAATCATATACTTAGCTTCAGCTGGTCTTTAAAAGCCCATTAAAGGCAGGAAACACTGACAAACACCTACGTTCTTCCTTCCCCAAAATATTTTTTTTTTTAGTGTTTCTGTTGTGCTATCATTTGTTGCTAATAAATAAGACATGCTGAAGGGTATCTGGTTTGGTATATACACAGCACCAGGAGAATTAAAAAAAAATCAGGATGTTTGTTCTGTGAAATTTCATCTTATTCTTTAAAGTTTGGTTTAGAAAATCATACAGGATTGCAAGCAAGCTTAGATGTGCAGAATGCCAGGTGCACAGGAAGTGGAGAAAGCTCACATGCACCAACTGTAAAGGCTGGTATCTTGACATAACAGATACCACTTCCTTAGGATCATCTTAGGGGAAAAGAGAAAACAAAACTGGAAGAGTTTCTGAAGCAGAAGCCAACTCACTTAAGTAAAAGAACAGGAAGAGAAGTGAGAAGGGAAATTCAGGTAATTTAGAGGTAAAAAAAGAGAGTAGTATTGTATTTTTGAGGACTGTTCTTGCTATCATGAAATGTTCATTGGTGTTTATAAGGTTAATTATTCTAAATACATTTTTACATGTGTATGTACAATTGTCCAAGTCCAAACCACAATCCTATTCTGCTGAAATTTATGTTTTGTATTTTGTTTGAAAACAATCAGAATATCTCTAACTGAAGCAGAACAGTTTTTATCAGATGCACTTGCTACACCAGTACTACTATAAGACTGTTATAAGACAGTTTAAAAAGGCCTCTAAATAATACTCACTGTAAGACAAACATCGACAGCCTGTAGCCTAATTCATGCAACAGATTTAAGACAAAAGTCTCCCACCATGAGACTGACAAAGATATAGATAGATAGACAGACAGACAGACAGACAGATACATACATACATATATACTGGGGTTTGCAGTTTGTGAAGTCCTATGTACATAAAAATGGCTGCAAGAAGAGCAAAAAAAACCACCAGTCCTTCACTTCTGCAAAAATAGCAGTGCTGCTATCCTTGCTGTTAAAGAAAACTAAAGAAGAATAACAAACTCTACAAGGCAGAGCATATTCAAAAAGAGACAAACAGATGTACCTTGTCTCTGTGGACAGAAAAAATACAAAGAAAAAACACAAACAAAACATGAAAACCAAACCTAAGACACATACTCTGCTTAGAGTTTATTGCCTTTTCCTCATTAATTCTAAGTTCTTTGTGTTTCTCCCTGATAATCTTGCACCTTGTCAAGGTTCAGTTTGGAGTAATGAACCCTTCTACGGTAGAAAACATACTGAGGTCTACTTAAAGTCTTCGCAGTGAAAACAGAAATTCCAGATCAGACCCACGTTACTTCAGACAACGCTCACCCGTGGGTGACACCGGCTGAAGAGCAGCAGGAAACAGACTGCAAAGCAGACAACTGCCAACAGTGGCTTGGAAATAAATGGTGTGGTACAAGATCCAGCACAGAGGTCAGAATTTACAATACAGCTGTTCAAACATATGAAGAATGTCATGTATCAATCATATCTAGAAATTAAGCAAACAAAACCTCAAAAACTGTTTCCATTTTATAAGACGTTAATATCCACAGGAAAGCACAACATACACACGCAGAGCAATGTCATCAATTGTCAAAATTTTGCAACAAAGAGCCATAAAATCCTTCTCAAATATTGTAGAGGTGGTGGAAAGATATAACACATACAGCCAGAAAGGACCAGGATTTTTTAAAATTAACTTTACCAGAATATAACAAGCACTACCACATAAAGGAAACACAACATTACCTTAGTGTACAAGAGATTCTTGATCCATATATGAGAAAGAAAAGCCATTGTAATGAAAACATTTTATTTTTCACATATATTTCACATACAACCTGTTGTTCTTAGAACTGTTAAAGGATACCTATGTCACTTAGCTTAAGGGTATGGAAAACTACTGATGTTCATGAAGCATCCTGCAATCCTTTGATAAAAAGCACAGCATGAATCAATTATAATACTGTGTGCATCATAACCAGCACGTATAAATACATACCTGGCACCTGTTTAGATTCTCTCATTTCTTTTATATCTTTAATATAGAGTCTTGCAAATGCAGAAAATACAGGATCCATCCCCCAGTGTAGAGAAGGTGTCTCTTCCTCATACTTCTTGGATTCAGAATGCATTCAAAACCTGGGAACACAGAAGGACTTGTAATTGTTTTCTACAGGTAAAGAGCTGTTCACATATGTTCCAACTAAATAAAAAACAGCTCATGAATTTACACACAATAACACATAAGAGCTGATGATGAGACACAGGAGTTTATCTAATACATTATATTTATTTATCAATATTCCATGTGTCACCACATGAAGTATTCAAAGTATCAATACTCATGATTTGTTTGAAATACTGAGAATCAACAGCAACAACATTTTCCCCAGTTCCTTCAAAAGAAACAGAATTTCAGGGATTTTTCCCCTATGAATCCACAGACAGAGAACCAAAGACAATACTTCTTTAAAAGAGCAGGATTGTGGGATACTAATTGGTTACTTCCTCTACATGTGATTATTATTCCCTCCATCATTCTCTTTTCCTCCCATAACATATTCTTCTCATTGTTCATCCCGTGCTTTATTGTGGAGGTGGGGGAGGATGACCTTATATAAAACAAAAGCAGCTGACCCTTCTTTATTTTGGACACGTAGTCTCCATTAACTTTGAAATTGTTATTTTCCCCTTTTACCTCTTCAGATTTTGCTGTTTAATGGCTGCTATCTTCTGCCATTACCAGATCCAGCTCTCTGCTTATCATTGTGCTGATGTCAAAAGCCCAGCAATCGATTCAGGAAGGGTCCTCATGAAGATTGGGAAGCTGAAAATACTTTCTATTAGCTCCTCCTGTATGGATAGCTAAATTGTTCCCCTAAAGCTCTCCAGGTCACTCTTGAATGGGTGTCAGCCCCTTTCAGCTCTTGGGCAAAGTTTACAAGTGGACTCATTTTGAAGAGTGTGTAATAGGGATGAGATTTGGCAGCTATACTCTCCTGAGAGGGAGCAGCTCCCAATTATGGGTGGCCAGTGATCTGTGCAGTCTGCAGGAGACACATCTGGCTACTGATGTAGAGGCAACATGCCATGAATATCACAGTAGCATCTTGCTTCTTTGAGAAACTACAGAGCTTGATTCTGCATAATTTCTCTTTTAATGCTTAAACTTCAATTTGAGGGGAAAAAAAACCAGCGTAGCACAACATGGCAGAGTGTTGCTGACATCTACACTACAGCATGTAAAGAACTGCAGATGACAATTAGATTCCTTTCCAACTTTTATTTTATTTAAATAACAAAAGGTTAGTGTTATTTTGACCCTCCTTAGACCGGTCATTAAATTTATGAGATGTTGAAAATAATTGATTTAGTCAGGTCCACCAGTCACTTCACCACTGAGGAACAAACTAAGCAGTTTTGTTTACACGTGGATCTATATCTCTATCCCCACTACAAACAGCTCTTCCCAACCTTTCTGTTTTGCACCTGCAAGGAATACTCAGAAACATCTCACCATCCTTTTTTACTCGAGTCTCCCCACAAAGCATTCTTTTTCTGCTGCTGAATTGCAGACACTGCTCAACAGAAATTTATAAACTAAGCTGTTAAGTGTATGATCTTAACACAAGCTGCTATTCCTCCATATGGCAGTTCTTTGGTTACTTGCTACAGACTATGTCAAATTTAGACCATAAAGTTTCCCAAGCAAAGAAATGGTTTCAACCTGTATTCCACTTAGCATGATCATTGTCTTAACAAAATTAGTCTCCTCATCTCTCTCTTTTTGTTTGCTGTCTCTAGGACAAAGTAATATTCCTTTCTGCACCATGCCCCCCAGTATAGTCTGCATGGTTGCGAAGCCTGTCATAGTTCAACACTCATGTTTTCTCCTAGACAGACATCAGACTGAGTTAACATGCCAACGAGAGACAATCAGGTAACAAGTCTGTCTAACCTTTTCTATTTTGGGTAGGCAGCAACTCACTGGGGCAAAAAGCAGAAGTCACACCACATGTGTGTGTCTGAGGGGAAATCAATGAAGCAACTCCACTGGATATTAAAAATATCTGTATTTTGGTATTTCAGTAAACATTGTCAAGCCTGAAATGCCCAAATGTTAACAGATCAAGTTCAAACGATGCTTTTAGCTTAAATGGAGCATCTCCATAACTTTTTTTTATGGCTTCCCTTTTCAGAAGGGAGAAGGATTTCTGCAGCAAAAGCTCTTTCTAGCTCAGAAACTACTGAGAGTCAAATCTCAAGTTGTGGAGATTGCTTCTCACTCCTAGGCCAGGTTACAGCTCTTCACAGGAGACATTTACACCCATCACATCTGTCTTCACATACAGACCACTCTGCTTAGTTCAAGTCTGCTACAGACACACAAAGTTTTATCTTACAGATCTGGAAAAGATTCTTTGACAAAAAGTAAATCATGCCCCCAGCACTATGAAGGCAACACAAGATTCCTTGAAGTCCACAGGACAAATTTGGTGAAGTCCTGAGTTACAGACATTCCATCCACACCAGGCTGGGACAGTGAAACCTTATTCCAGCCACCCACTCACCATCAGCAATGTCTGACAGGCACATGAGGGTGTTATGCAGGGCAGTCTCCTCTGGCCTCTTCATGGTCCCAACAGCCCTCCCAACCCCTGCCACCACCCAAAACCAAGACTATTCTTTCTTCTCTCCCAAGCAGCCACTTGGTAGCTACATTTGCACAGTGACCTATTTAAAGCCAAAGCTCGTGGTCAGTTGGAAGGAAAAGCTATTTACTGCCTCCTGGATGTACTGCTTGCCTCCACACTCTCCTATTACCAAGTCTATTCTTCTTGGCAGTTGTCTGTTTGCTCCTATAGCAAAGGAGGATATTAACCACCTCCAGTATCTATTGTTCAGTGAGTCCAAGCTTGTTTCAGGCAGATGGAGAGTATTAGAAAACATAATTCCTCCAAGGCAGACAGAATTCTTCCAATCAGTTTATCTTTTGATACATAACAGCATCTTCCTGTAACTTTTTCTTAAGTTGGCACAGGAAGCCTCTCCATCCCAGGCAGAATGAGCCAGGGGTTAATTAATGAGTCATCCTGGCAAAAGCAGAACTTTCCATTATGCTGGAAGTATTTTCAGCTCTTAACTGGTACCATTGGTGATATGCTATCAGCAAGGAAGATAAGAGCTGCCTGTTCAATGAAGATCCAAAGGGCAAATAGCCTGCATTGTGGAGATGCACAGCATTATAATCAATGAAAGCACAGACAGTAAACAACAGACAATTCTGAACAGATACTATAAGTACAAGTGTTTAAGGATCAAACTGGCTTTTGCTGTAAGATGGTGATCATGCTTAGCAATAAAAACAGAGTCCTAGCAAAAGGTCATCCTTTTCTGCATTTTGTTTTAAATGCAGTGTAATGATTTCAGGGTTGCTGTAGTGCAAGGAATTCAATCTTGCTATAGGAAAAAAAGGGCAAGAGAAGCATCTGGTCCACAGGTTTATTAGACAGAAGATATCTGTATTCTATTTTTAACTCCAAAGAGACGATATAAAGCCATAATCAAAACCAAAAATAGAATTAAGTTCTTCTTGGGAAAATAACTCTGTTTCAAGGGCAAAAATCTAAAGTTTACATAGTAGATATCTAAATACGAATAAACAACAAAGCTCAATTTGAGATTATCCTAACCTATTAAAATAAGGCTGCCTCTTTCACCCACTGCTATCAGTGTTAGCCTTCCTGACTGAACTGAGAAGTAAACCAATTCCATAATCCTCAGAGTTATCTTGTGAGCTCAGCAAGGTATTATCCTAAAAAGGAAAGAAGGGAAACCAAGGAAAATTGGCACCCTTCCCAACAATGCCACCACCCAAAACCAAACCCATTTGCTTTTTTCTGTCCCAAGCAGCCTATCTGGTAGCCTTGTGAGAATAGCTTCCTAATTAACACCTGAGTGAGTGAGTTATTCAACAGAATTAGCCCTGGCCAATAAATTTCTTTGCTCATACTGTGTCCACCATGTACTTTTTTCAAAAAAGGTAAATGGTATTCTTCCAATCTCAGTGAAATGGAAACCTCAAAGAGGAGTATCTGTTTTAATGTTTCTTGTAGTTTTTTTCTCCAAATTTGATTAACAACTGAAGCTCTGGGAGAAAATTGCCCTAGTTTAATCGTTTGGAGCCAAGAAAAGGTGTCTTGCCAGTAGTTGTCTGCAACTACTTTGCAACTGCTGGCAGACTGCTGCAGAGATTTTTTCTCAAGTTAACTGTGAATCAAAACCAGAGGATTTATGCATTAGTACAGGCAGCTTAAACATCCTACCAGTCCTTCACTCTTCTCCAAAGACTGCCACTAGTGTACCAGCACTAATGATTTACACAGGAAGCAACCCCTAAGCTGTTGGAGTTGCCAACCCAGTGCATGAAAACAACTTAAAGTCACCACTGGTTTACTTACATAAATTAGGCTACAAACTGTGGCTGTCAAAGAACTGCTTCATAGGTCAGCCATCCCTGCCACAGAGAAAGCAGCTTGTAGAAAGAGGAGCAGAGTCGACAGCTGGGTTTTGTAACACCCTCTGTCATCTGAATTGAAATCATCTGTGTCTGAGTCAACACCCTATGTGACAAATGAGTATTATTCAACTCTTCACCATCAGCAGAGGCAATTCCAGCATGATACAGTCAAAACCACCATATTTCAATAAATGTTTTTAATTACCCACAGCCACATACAACATTTTAAATTAAAAACAAATAAACCCACTATATTATTATACAAGTAGATCTTACTGAGCCGGGAAGTAAAGCCTTTGGTTACAGTCAATACAGAACCAAGAATCTAAAAACGAAACTCATCCATAGATTTTTAAAAAATACATAATTGAAAGAAAGTTTCCAACACTAGTAACAAGATGAAAACCACCACTGAGATCAAAACACATTACTCAAAGACAAAAATAAGGCTCCTGGAAAAATGAGTATTGATATCAACACCTAGGTAACAACAAAATAAGGTCATTTTCGATCCAGTTTTTACATAGTTATTCTATTAAAAATCAAGGTAGGGTAAGCTCTTTCGATCACTCCTAATAAACTACCTTCTGCTTCTGCTCATGTTAGATCCTGTAAGTTT